TTGCTAATCAGACTCCTTTATCTTGAATAAAGTGTTACACTTAAATATCATTAAGTACATTAATGATATCTGCCTTGTTCTGTTCTGTTAACCCTAGGGGGGTTATTGTTGCTGCTCTCCCTGCTCATTCATGACAGGCTGCATGGATGGGCAGGGAGGTTTTTGCCCAGAACAGAACCATACCGCCAAACCAAATTTTATGCTAAGTATCTGTCATTTTGACGATAGTGGTCCTGACAGAATACCTTTAATGGAATGATCTTTGAACATGGCATTGCGTAGTAGCTGTAACAAGCTTACATGATAGAAAAATAGTTTGTGATTATTAATATTAATAAATGTAATCATTTATTTAACATTGCTGCCTTTTATCATATCACTGTTGCCACAGCTTGCATCATGCCTAACAACTGTGATAAAATCTGCAACGTATGATCTTGCTTATTGCTTTGTATTTGGTTCTATTGTAAACTAATCAAAAAAATTGGTTCAAATTAAAACTGTGTTTCTCTGTTCTGTGGTTAAACTCAAGTTTTAATGAGAAAATATTCAAACACACACACACAATCACAAGCTGCTCTCAGTGGGAGAACAGGCCTCATTGTGCTTCCCACTGTGTTGACTGACTAAAGCATGTGCTGGTCAACAGCTGCTCCAGTTGCCTGCCCACAACCCCCATAACACCTTTATCCAGCTCACTTTTTCTGTCTGTAAGTCTCTCTATCAAACTCAGTGTCCCCGTCTTCTCCTTTGACATCTTCCTGACAAGTGTGCAGACGTGGACGTACACTTGCAGCAGCTGTGTCACCCTGCAGTGCAGCTGTCCGTCTCTGATCCGTTTTATCAGTGTTTGATACTGCTGCAGATCTTCATAATGTAGTTAGTATCACTAGTACTTATTGCTTATACTAGGGTTAAAGGGGTAGTTCACTCAAAAATGAAAATCCTGTCATTTTGTTCCAGACCAGTATGACTTAATTTCTTTTGGGACACTTTTTGGTTTATTATTTTTATTTTTATGGCTATGCAATGAAATTAAATGGATCCAAAGTGTTTTGATGGCAATTTTATTTATTTTATTTTTTTGTTCTGTCAATTTTATTATTGTGCTACAGACAAGAATGATACCTTAAATTTGTGCTGTTTGTCATAAAAACATTTAATTAAAATTAAAAGCTTCATGAGTTGTATCTATTTTAGTTTGGTTTGCCATTTCTTGGGTTTACGTTCAAAAAGTGGGCAAAGTTAACAGGTTAAAAAAACAGTTTAATTTTAGTATAATATAGTTTTTATAAATATTTTAAATAAGTTTTTATTTTTATATTTTCTGTTTTCATTTTAATTTCAGTTAAACTTTGTGTAATTTTGTTTGTTGTTTTTAAAAATATGTTTATATTGTTTTTTCCCCCTAGTTTTAGTTACTTTAGTACATAAAGATAAACTAATGAAAAAGAGAAATGTTGTCTTGGCAACTAGCTGAATTAAAATAAGTTTTTTAATATCATGTAACAAAATTTTTTATGGTTTTAGCTTTAGTTTTACTTAACTATAATAACCCTGTTAAAAACAGGTATTTTATAACTTAAAATATTGTCTGACTAATGATAAATCTGGTGAAAAAAAGAATTTGAGGAGAAACCCGAGCCATATCTAGGGGCCAAAATATCAAAGAGACTTGGCAGCAGGCTCTTTTAAATACTTAAAAATACCCAAAATGCCCCAGCAACCACTCAGAACACCTTATCAACCGCATAGTAATGCCCTGGCAACTATCAAAACACCCTTGCATTTTGTATAGGCTTACATTTTCTTCATAAAATATAAAAAAAAATCTAGTTAGCGTTACTCCAGAACAGGCATTTGGTGACCGTTGGCGTCAAGAATGCATCATCTGCTGTGAATCTAATGTTGGATTGTTGGTCTGGCTCTAAGTCAGTGTTGTGTATCATTGAGACTTATTGCCATGTTGAACCAGCGTTGTATGGCTGGTGTTGCTTTGTGAGTGGAGCCCCTGGTGGGCTTGTTTGTCATCAGGCTGGGCGGCAACGCTGATGTGCTGGACTCATTACTTTTGACCACCTGTTTGTCCTGGGGCAACGAGTGAGCGAAAAATAAAGAGAAACGAGGGAGGGGGAGCTGGGTGAAAATGAAAAAGGGAACAGGATGGATCCTTGTGGGACACCTCTCGGTTTTTGCCATGAAGTCACACCGTATGTACAAACACAACTGTACGTGCGTGTACGATCACAGCCATGTGTTGATGGAAATGACGCTGGTAGCAGGAGGTTGAATGCTCGTCTTTGTTCTGGAGCTGCCGCGGCTATGTGTCGCAGGGACAGGTGGATGGCTACCCCGTCAGACCCCGCCACTCACACACTAATGACATTTAACACGGCTATACAGCGCGCACACACACACACACAGCGGGAACCCTGCATGTTTCTCCACCCCTCTCACTAAACGCACACTGTGTGCCCACTCATCCATCTTAAAACTGTCTCTCACTTCATCCAACCCTTTGACCCCATCACCAATGTCAAAATAAAAAAAACTAGCGTCAAAAGAAGCATCAAAAAGCTTGATGCTATGCCTAAATTCTGAATAAGTGGCACACTGGTCTTATTGATCAAACATTGTTAAAGTTTTGTTCTTTTATTTGTGTCTGATATGATCGTATAACCTTAAATAATAAATCTTTCATAATTAATTTTAATGACAAGCTTTTTAAGTGTAACATTTGTAAAAAAAATTAGTCCAACCATGTATTTTTAAATTAATTTACTCACATGACTTGAGGCAAAGTCTTATACTTCTTCTTTTTTCTTCTTCTTTTTTTTGTGATGTGCATCTGATTGATGTGCTTTGTGCTTTGGAATGGCAATAATAATAAATTATAAATATTATTATATATAATAATAACTATTATTATTATTATTGATTATTTACTAATATATATAATATTTGTTTTATGTATAAATATATATGCACACACAGTTATTTCTCTGACACAAACCTGACCAAATTGAACCATTCATTTCACTAAAAATGCAGGGGGAAATTTTTATTTTTTCTCCAAATCCTCAATGACTTCACACTATCCTGTTCTGCTTGTGTGTGTTAATATGATGCAGGTGCACCCAAAAAATCCCCTCAGCGACAAGGGAGAACATCACAGACTCTAGCGCTGGCAATGAAAGCAAACCCCTGAAAATACATGAATAGATAAAAGAGATATTGCAAGCGCAGACACATATCACAGCGCTGCGGCCCGGTCATCACAGCGACGCTATCCCAGCATGCCAAGTGGGCAACAGAAGGCTGTGCGAGTGGAGTGGAGAGGGGCGTTTTGTGGGTCAGCAGACAAAGCAAGGCTCTAGTCTGTTGTAGTGGGCATTTGTGAGTGTGTATCTGGTTGGCCCTCATCTCTGAGGTATTACAGGAGTGTTTGATTGTCTAGGTGTGTGTGAGAGAGAGAGAACATATGTTCATACTGTTTGCCAGATACACACTGCTTGTTGAGTTTTGAGGAGTGACAAGTTTGCTTTTTTATAACAGTCACTGAATTGAGTCTCACTGTGGAGATAAACTTTACACAATCATCATTATTTGTGTGTGTGTGTGTGTGTGTGTGTACCAACTTAACGATACGTTGAAGTCAAATTTATGAACAGAAGTGTACAAGTGTAGATGAGGATCTTTTTCATTTTAAAATGCCGTTTTAAAGCCAAAACGCACTAGTGTAAACGTGGCCTATATTATTCAAAATTAGTTCTATATAAAAACATTATAGAAGTCCATAGAATATCTTCATTTAGATATTTAGATAGCTGCTGTAAGTAAAAGTGTGTTGTAACTATCAGTTACAAACAGTTTATAGTGGTATACAAATATATAGAGATTTTAGGTCATATACAGATACTGTATACATATTTCCTCCTGTATGTTTGAGCAGTTGAGTGTGTGTGTGTGTGTGTGTGTGTGTGTGTGTGTGTGTACCAACTTAACTATACGTTGAAGTCAAATTTATGAACAGAAGTGTACAAGTGTAGATGAGGATCTTTTTCATTTTAAAATGCCGTTTTAAAGCCAAAACGCACTAGTGTAAACGTGGCCTATATTATTCAAAATTAGTTCTATATAAAAACATTATAGAAGTCCATAGAATATCTTCATTTAGATATTTAGATAGCTGCTGTAAGTAAAAGTGTGTTGTAACTATCAGTTACAAACAGTTTATAGTGTTATACAAATATATAGAGATTTTAGGTCATATACAGATACTGTATACATATTTCCTCCTGTATGTTTGAGCAGTTGAGTGTGTGTGTGTGTGTGTGTGTGTGTGTGTGTGTTCATACCTAGTTGGACAGGTGCGCTGGGTGACACAAAAAAGTACTGTCGATGCTATTCTTCTTAGTGGCAGTAGCACAGCTGCTTGTGGCCTGTTTCTTCTGTTCTGTCTGTTTCTGTTAGCACACACACACACACAGTACAGGTTTTACCACCGAACACTCTCATGTTTGTCGTCGACTTATGCATTTCAAAGGAAACACGAGTGCACATGATCACACAGACGTTCTTGTGCACATACACAACGGTCACCATGAAAACTTGGCATTTGGTTAGCCATAGGCAAGAAACATCACAAATGAGATCTCAGCTGTTTCACAGAGACAGCAATGAGATGAAATGGAGATAAAATGGAAGTTATTTCTCAAGGGCAGTAATAAGCTAAATTCTTTAATGTATCTCCATTTCTTCTTATAAGGACAGTTTACCCAAAACAAAACAAACAAAAAAACCTGTATGACTTTGTTTTTTCCAGTGGAACACAAAATAAAGGTATTCTGATAAATGCTTATAACTAAACAGTTTCCGTTCCGCTTGAATTCCATTGTATTTTTGTCCATACAATGGAATTTAGTGGAAACTGAAACGGTCTTATCATTTTAAAATAACAATTTTTATGTTCCACAGAAGTCATACAAGTTTGGAACAACATGAAGGTAAGTAAACGATGGCTGAATTTTTGGGTCTATAGTCTCCTGCTTTCTGGAAGAAATTGACCTCAGTGTCTCAAAATGTGCTCTCATTTGCCATGTCATCTCATCATTTTTTCCTTTACGATACATCGCTATAAAAGTGGAAATCATCATTTTACTTTTGACTTTTTTTTTTCTCCGAAATACTGGGATTCATCTCGTTCCTGTGTCAATTTGTTCACCTTTCTCTCCTCCTCCTGGTCCATCATTGTCTCAAATCGAAATGTCTTGGGAATCTATGACTTTCAACTTCAGTATCATATATCCATCAAATGGATTAATAGAGCTTCTGTTGGTTGAATATGCTCAGTCTGTTATTTCTTTTAAAACCTTCTTTCTTTGTTCTGCAGGTCACGCGGGTGCCGATCGAGTCCTGTGAGCAGTACGGCACGTGTGGAGAGTGTCTGAGCTCAGGAGATCCACACTGTGGCTGGTGTGTGCTGAATAACATGTAAGTTCCTTCTTTATATTTACACACACAGTTACTACTTGATATCAAATGATTTTTATGTATTTGAAGAACACAATCTCCAAAACTGTAATAATGTAGTGAAAAGTCTAGGAATGATCAAAGCGAAGAGCCCAGTGGTGCTTGGTTGGCACAGAGGTTGTTTGCCCTCTGGTGGTGGACTAGTGCAACTGCATCCAGATGTTTAAATCTCACTGAATGCTGAATCCTCAGATGCTTGTATGCTTTCAAATATTGAATTTAACGTTTCCAGAACAACAGGCAACCGACATTACTGCGTTCATCATCTTTTAGTGGTTTTGTGCCGTTGTCTTCTCTCTTGTGTCCTGACTCAGTAGGGGCGCGTAAACCCTCCACTGCCATCATTACAATAATGGCAGGAGTACCTAAAGTGCACTTAAAGTAATTTACATGACTCCCGACAGGACAGGGACAAATAATTGGCAACGCGAGCGGTATTTGTGCATCTCTGTTCAGCATGGGGCTGTTTTTTTTTTTTTTCCGTCAGCGTGCCGTTGGCGCAGCAGGATTACATTCCTCCATCAATCCTCTGGGGCTTTCTGCTGTATTAAAGCTCATGTAATACAGACGCCATTCAAATCTCAAACATACCATGCTGTGTTGTGCAGACAAGCTTATGTATTTATTAATTCACTAGCAAAAAGAACTGAAAGTACCATGCTACTACCTTTTTTAACATGTGACATGGTATTCTTTGAAATTAATTATTTTATCATGTATATATATATATATATATATATGCTAAAGTTGTTTTTAGCTGTACGTTGTTTTTGGAGGAACATATATGGTTAATATGGTTCATGGTAAATCAATATGGTAATCATTCAATACCATGCTATTTATTAGATCTCTCATTTTCTCTTTCCCTTCATGTGTGCTTGTATTCCTCCTTCCCCATGGCGAGTGCTTTTTCATTGTCAGTGTTCTCTTAATGAAATTAACATCTCTCACTGGCTCTAATTCTAGCTCCACACTTTTATTTGCTCATTTCTCACTGCTCACAGCCCCTATGGAGTCCGTCCTTCCTCATCTGATAGAGCGACAGACAGTGAGAGAGAGAGAGATTGCTGACACCTAATACAATGGTTTCATTAGTCTTTTAGCCTCTCCTTCACGGCACTGTTTTTCTCCTCTTTTGCATATACTATATAATAAAGGTTTTCAGATGTTTCTTTGCAGCACATGTTCATCATAGGACACCTTTTAAATCAAGAAGCATTTTTTTTTCTTTTTTGTGGGATTCTTGAGGTATTATATGAGATTAGAAAGGAGTCTTGATCATACATTTAAAGTTCTTCAGATCAACACATGGTTTTTCTGAGATCATTAAAACACCAAAGCAAGTGGTTTAAGGAAAAAATGAATCCTTAAAACGTCTTTAAAACAACATAAATTTTACACCAGGCAAATATTGCAGACTTTTGTGAATATTTCACAATCTGTAATAAGTCATCTTTTGAAAGAAGCACTGCATTTATTTGATTAAAATACATTTGATGATTTACAAGTTCCAAACATTATTGCTAGATTTGAAGTTTTCAGTACTGAAAGATGTTCCAGTCTCATTTGAGTCATTAGATGTTTACAATACCATTCAAAAGTTTGGTGTCAGTAAGATTTTTGAAAGAAGTCTCTTATATGCTCACCAAAGCTGCATTTATTTGAGTAAAAACCTGTAATAGTGTGAAATATTATTACAACTTAAAATAATTGCATTCTGGTTCAATATGTTTTAAAATGTCATTTATTCCTGTGATGGCAAAGCTGAATTTCCAGCATCATTACTCCAGTCTTAGTGTCACAGGATCCCTCAGAAATCATTTTAATATGCTCATTTGCTGCTTAATAAACATTGCTTATTATTATGAAAACAATTGTACTGCTTAATATGTTTGTGGAAACCGTGATGCATTTTTTAGGATTCTTTGATAAAAAGTTCAAAAGAACAGCAATTAATCGATTTAATATGGCCTTGCTGAATAAATATATTAATTTCTTTTTTTTAAAAAGACCCCGAACTTTTGAATGGTAGTGTATTTATTTATTGTACTTGCCTTGTCTTAAGGTTTTGTTTTGTTTTTTTACGCTGGAGACTTTTTTGTAGAGCAACGTTATTCTGCTCTTAGTGTGCGAAACATCTCTCTCTTTATTCTTACCTCAATTAAGAATAGTGTGATTTGCCAAAGTTCCTATAATTACCAGCAGCTGCTGCACACCATGTGATTGAAAGGAGAAAAAATGAGTGAGAAGAGACAATGCGGGATAGAGTTGTTGAGCATATAAGGCATCACTAAATCTGCTGGTGTTTAGGCTATGAAGGCAAACATCATCTGTATCTGTCTCTCTGGCATAAGACCCAGAGACATCGCTCATTGGTTAGTTAGACGGACCTTAAAATTCGGACGAGACAGAAAAAGGAGGAGTGAGGAGAGAGAACATAAAGTTTGCTGTCAGATTTAGGAGGACTAATCTCCTTGGCCCGTGGAGAACACTAATCCTGGAGATGATCCGATTGGCTGAACTCCTTTGAGGTCACAGGCTGTTTTAATATCAGTGATCCAGCAGTTGCTCAGTGGAGATCATTCCAACAGATCCTAATCGCTTTTAGGATTTAGCTCATTAAAGAGAGAAAGAGGGAGGTGGGGGATCTTAGCGCTGATCAGTGTTTAAGGACATTATGTGAACTATTTAACATGATGCAATACATAAGTGTTTGGAAAGTGTGTGTGTGTGTGTGTGTGTTTATGTGGTTTATGAGGACACAAATTTGCATAATAACATGGGCATGACATAGATATTACAACGAGAAGGTGATTTATGAGGACATTTTCAGTGTCCCCGTAATTCAAAAGGCTTATAAATAATTCAGAATGAGTTTTTTTGAAAATCTAAAAATGTAGAAAGTTTCCTGTAAGGGGTAGGTTTAGGTGTAGGGTTGGTGTAGGGCAATAGAAAATACGGTTTGTACAATATAAAAACCATTACGCCTATGGAGAGTCCCCATAAACCATAAAAACAAACCTGTGTGTGTGTGTGTGTGTGTGTAAGCTCTCAGCTTGGGTCTTGTTTGTATGGCTGTGGCGGCCGTTCCAGGAGAGAGACGATCTTCACAGCGGGGTTCAGCGTTTGATCCGTGCTGTGAGGAAACATTCACTCACTCTCTCTCTCTCATGTACCCACACGGACATTCTTGATATGTTGAACTAGCATATCTGCGTTGAATGCCCAGAGTACAATATGTGAGATGTTGTGTCCCATAATGCAGTGCACTTGACTTGACCTTCCATGTGAAAAATGAACCAGAAAAAAGTATCAGCTGCATTTTATTGGGAATTATAATATTTTGATTTTCAGGCCTGAAAAGGTCATGGAAATAAAAAAAATTTTTTTAAAAGTTTTAGTTTTAATATTTAATTGGATGGAAATTCAACTTCTGAAATAATTTATTAAATAATTTATAATTAATGTATGCATTCATTTTTTTAAGTAATTTCTTAATTTGTTTAATTTAATTTATAATGTATTAATGCATACGTTTTTTTTATTTAATTATTATTAATTTAATTAATAATAAAATGTATACATAATTTTTTTAAATAATTTGTTTATTAGACTTGTTTAATTTAATAAATAGTATTTTTATGTATTGTTTAATATTGTTATTATTTTATTATTTATTAAACGGGTTGATGTCATGTGATAACAATGTAGCTTACTACTGTATGTTTATCATGCAGCATTTATCATTGCATATTGAGTATTTTTTTTCACATATTAAATATTGTATTATGCAGAATGCAGTACTTTCGTTCCTGACCCTAACCCTAACCCTAACCATTCCAAATATATAGCCATAGAGTTTGCACAAGATAGGTGGCAACAACCTCAGGTATCCCTGAACATCATGGCTTTTGTTATCTTGAGTTACTTTCCTTACTATCATCAAAACTGTATAAAGTAGCATGCTGGATCATGATCTCATTTCACAATGCAGTGACCTTACATGTCCCACATTTAGACTGATATAGAGAAGTATAGACAACACATTTAATAAATTACTTGGCAATCATCAATAACACAACTCATCACATTACAACAACACCGGATCAGTTAAATGTCATTGATATCCGCACATGTTCAGAAAGATGACGTGCACTGCTGTGTAGTCGCTTAAACACTCATTTAAGCAGCATCATTATGGTTATAACAATCATACGCTGCTCATGGCTGCACATTTACTCCTCGGTCTCCGTATTGAACTTAAATGGTGCTGGTCTGTGTTCAGGTTATATGGGATTGGTGCTCAGCTAAATTAATTCCTAATTACATATTGATCTGGAGTAATGGAAGCAGATTCACCCTCACAGGCTGTTTATGAGTGAATTACTTCACCTGTTGGACAAATACTGGGGCAGTATGGAGATGAGTGATTTATTTACACTGGTTTTGGGTTTTGGACTCATCTTATCTCGTCTCTCTAGTTGTCTCACCTCAAATCTTGTCCTGTCTGCTCTCCTCTCCTCATCTCAACTTCTCTCTTTTTGTCTCATTTCGACCCTTCCCTTTTCATCTTATCTCGTCTTTTCTCTTCTCTTTTCATCTCATCTCAACTTTTCTCTTCGCTTTTTCATCATATCATCTCATCGTGACCCTTCTGTTCTCTTCTCCATCTCATCTGAACCCTCCCAGGGAGGAGTTCATAACACTCCCACTTTCTTCTCAGATTTATTTTAAAAGAGAGACTTTTATTCATCTGTAAAATGTCCCATCTTCTCCTCCCTCAGAGCTTTGCTTAATCAGGTGTCTCACCACACACCTCGCGTTATGGTTTGGCGACACTGGTAAGAAAGCAGGAAAGAAACAAGGGAAAATCTTTTCCTGTCATCTGTCTCTTCTCGTCAGGGTTGAGTGTGTATGTTGAGTGTGTAAGGAGGAGAAAAGATGCTGTAATTACCTGGCTGGTGCACAGGGGTAAACTCAGACGGTAGAGAAGAACCCAAAGGTTAACCCACCACTAACTACCCTCCTATTTCTCTCTCTCTCACACACACACACACATGCACACTGAAAACAGGTCATTCATAAATCTTAAAGCTTGTCAAACACACAACCTTTAACATATTACTACCACATTTAAATATCAACGCTTATTCATAATTAACAGCAGTATGTCAATAGCTTTCAGTTTTCAGTATGTCACTGCAAAGAGTTTAATCAATCATAACAGCTCATTTGCATATTAAAGGTTGGCCTGCAGTTGCTAAAACAACCTGTTTAATTCTAAGGAGGCGAAAAATGTCAAACTAAACACCACATTTTGGTTCAAGAAACCTTGAAGAGAATATGAATCATATTGTACAGTATGTGTGTGCTTGTGTGTTCAGGCATTTTCTTTGATGTGTATGTGTATGCAGCTCTCTAAGCATTTCATTCAGCTCTTTAGAGGGGGCTGTCGAGAGGCAGAATAAACCCCTCTGGAGACACAATGATGTGTACAGGGAACACACACACTTCATGTAATGAAAGAGAGAGAAGAGGTTGCCCACTAAGTGCACACACTTACATGTACACACATATTATAATGGCCGTCTCCTGGTGCCATGGCAATGCAGCATCCCGAGTACACCCACTTCCTCCTCCAAAATCAAACCTGGTGCCTGGATTTGGTGGTTCGGAGAGATACACACACTCGTGCAGACAAACCCACACCCACATTTTCAGACAGTGAAGTATGCACAAGCCGTCCCGGACATCTGAAAGCACATTAAGTGTCATTCCCCCCCCCCCTCCTCCCACAGAGCATTAGGAATGTTAAAAAGACATGGCAAATTGCAAACCTACATGCTCTTTGTCAGAGATAGAGGAGCAAAGAGAGAGGGAGGCTGAGTCAAAACCAAGTGACATGTTGAATGAGTGTGGTGTGAAAAGTAAAAATAACAACCCTCAGATTTGCCGAAGAACTGTGAGATTTATAACTGTAGGATGAATCAACCATAGTAGTTTCTGTTAGTCTATGTGTAAATGCAACAAAAAAAATGGTAATTTAGCATAAAAAAGGCATTTTCCCGTCCATCAGTTCTTTCCGCTAAGTAAAAACACTGAGAGAAATAAGAGGACATATTCTGGAATTATACATGTCTAAGGCATGAACATTGTTGGGTTGTGACATTAATGACAGCTTTAGTCATGTGATGTCTGATCAGCTGGTCTGGAATTAGAAGTTACTGATTGCTCTGTTTAGGGAGAGTGATGGTATGAAAGTCTTCAGGACCAAGGACAGCAGCTACAGTCAGCAGTGACGCTCATGTAGCTTGTGTGAAAATGAACCACACTTAAAAGTCAAAGAGATACACTTCTGATCAATAAATTACATTTTAAAATATATTAAAATACTAAACAGTTATTTTAAATTGTAAAAATGTTTCATAATATTACAGTTTTTACAGTTACAGATCTTTTATTCACCATTGTGTCAAAAATCCATGTTTTTCTTTCCTCCAAAGAAAAATAGTGACATTGGAGAAGAGTCCAGAGTACTCTTTTTCGTAATGAGGACTGTTGAACTGCAAAAATATGAAATCTTACCCTCTTTTATAGTTCTGAAATCTCTATTGTTCTTATTTAGTGCAGTAATAATTGTCCTCTTCTTCAGTGGCGAGAAGACCAGCCTGCATGTGAAATGTGTGTATTTATAGCCTGTGCGCTCTGTCCTGTGTGTCACCGGTCCCCCAGAGAATGACTTCCGAGGGCCATGTGTGCTTTGAGAAGATGTGCAAGAGCATTCGTGTGAAATGCAGAAGATGTAGTTCAAAGCTAGAGAAAGAATGGATGGATTGTCAAATGCCCTCTTTGAGCAGGAGTCTTTATAAGGTTAAGTCTGTAATGATGGCTGGAGTTTATGCTGTTGTTATGCGGTGAGACCATCTGCTGCATGCTGCCGAATGAACTTTGCCCATGTGAGAAGACTGAGGTTATTTTATCAGTAATAAATAGCTTCTTTCAGAGCCATAGCTTGGTGAATAGCACTCATGGTTCAGACATGAGACGGTGGTACTCATCCTACCCACTCTCTATAATCTTATATAAATAATTTTTTCTATATATGAAAGTGATGTGATATGTGATATGTACATAATATACATTACTACATAAATTATTACAATTGTAATTATGATTATTATTATTATATAAATAAAAATATATAATTTAATAAAAATTAAATATGTAAATCTAGATGCATTACAATAAAGGCTCTCAATAGTATAAAGTAATTCTGACTATTTTATTTAATTATGAAAACTCCTGTTCTAATCTGATTTCTTTCCTCGGTCAAGCTGCTGGTGAAAGTGACAGATGTTCCGGATCTTTCTGCTGGAATCACATGCTCCTTCGGGAACTTGACGGAGGTTGAGGGCAGAGTAGATGGGAATCAAATTCTCTGCACTTCTCCTGCTGCTAAAGATGTTCCCATCATCCCCACAGATCAAGGTATTTATTCATACTAGACTATTCAAACTAAAACTGACGCACTGTTTTATAGATTTAATTCTGATATATCCTGCTCTCCATGTACTCAACTTTCCCTATCAATTGGCATCTCTTTTATTTATTCTTTATCCATCCGTCTACCTGTTCCCCTCAGGGAGGTGATCTCTATTCTCTTGTATAGATGCTCTATTAATAGACCTTCCCTAGCGTACCCAGCAGCCTCGCTTTCTAATGAGGGCTTCATTCAGCGGTGCCGCCTGCACTCACACTCGAGCCACACCATCGATCCCACCGGCCACGTACAACTGTGGCTCTAATTAGCCTTCGCCGACCCCAGGTCGGCCCCAGGGCTACAGGCGTGCTCTCAGACACACTTAAGCCCATTACAGGTGACGAGCCCTCTGCCCTCTCCCTACCCATAATAGCTCAAGGGAGGGAGTTCTTCCCGAACGCTGATCAACAATCAGGTTTAGAGTCATCTGTGGTTATGAATATAATCAGGAATCGGTTCGCAGTGTGGAAAACCAAAAGTAGATGATCCTGTTCCACAGAAACCCGCATGCTGTAACTGTATATGCATTCAGTTTGTTGGCAACGCTTATACAGCAAGATTACACTGATTTTTTTTAAAAGCTAACATTCGTCTATGGATAAATTTCTACATGTGCTTCCCGTCTAACCTCTGTTGAGAAGCAGATGGCAGCATATGCGGCAGAAGTTGGTTGTGATTATCTGAATCACAATAATCCCCTCCCAGCCCACAGTAAATGACAGCTCTGTTTACCCACAACCCCCATGCACTTGTTGGGGGGAGCGTTATCCAATCAGTGGCCTCCCTCAGGTAAATGCCATTTAATCCCTCAGTGCCTCATATTTGCCGCTTCTCTCTTAACTGAATCGGGCTCAATAGGAACTAGGGATGGGCGGATCGATCCTTAAGTATCGGTACTTTCAATACTGATGTTGTATTGAAAAGATCGATCCTCACATAAAAATATCGATTCTAAAGAGCATTTTTTAACCATTCATTTTATTTATTTATCAAGAAATTCGGGGCATAAAATAAGCTTCTAAGTGGAAAAATAATCTATATTAGTGAATAATTGTGTTGGATAGAACCGTTTCTCCTGCTCATCGGAACACACGCAAATGCTGAAAGAGAACCAATCAATCACAGACAGCGTTCGCTGCTGACGCTCACAGTGCTTGTTCAAATAGTGCTGCGTTTCCCAAAGTATCAGAAGCATAAGTAGATCTTAAGAAACCATTGCCACATTATTACATTACATAACATTGTTACTATATCTAAAATTAATTCTGAAAAATGCATCACGGTTTCCACACAAATATGAAGCAACAATAATAATAAATGTTTCTTGAGCAGCAAATGATATTATAATTATTTCTGAAGGATCATGTGACACTGAAGACTGGCGTAATGGTGCTGAAAATTCCGTTTTGATCACAGATGCATTTTAAATTACATTTTAAAATATATTAAAATAGAAAATAGTTATTTTTAATTGTTATATTTCACAATATTGCTGCTTTTACTGTTTGTTTGTTCGTTCAAATAAGTGCAGCTTTCCTGAGCATGAGACTTAAAAAAATATTACAAAATCTTACTGACCCCAAACTTTTGTGTACATGTAATATTTATTTTAAATTGGCTAGTTTGTGCAAGTAAATTTATTTAAACTGGTTGTTCAAATGGATTGTGTTATGTTCTGTAATTGCTGTTAATAAATTGTATTACTGTAACCACTGTTTACCACAGTATTTGTAGTGAAACTGCAGTAACCACAAATTTGCCATGGTAATAACAATAATAATACATTTCAGTACTTATGTAACACCATGTTTATTTTTCATGACCCAGTAAAGGGCTAAAATACAATTATAGTTTATTTCTTACAGTGTAAACAAAAAAGGCCTATGAAATGTTAAAAACATGGCTTTTAAATCTAATATTAAGTGAGTATAATTACTGATTAGATTCTTTTAATAATTTAAAAGATCAGTTTAGTTTATAGGTATCGGTATCGATATAGATACTTGGCTTGAAAATATCGGTATCGGATCGAAAATAAAATAAGAGGTATCGCCCATCCCTAATAGCTGCATCGATCATGTGTGGAAATACCCATTCATTGACTACGTTTACATGGACATCAGTAATCTAATTATTTACCTTATTCTAAATAAGTCAATGTTATGATTATGGTGTTTACATGAGTTGCTTTTAGAATATTCCTTTCATGTTCCCGTTTTACATGTTATAGTACATAGTTCAATTAATGGAAAACGTCATTACGTCCCCACGTGACGCCATCTGACGTCCCCTCCGTAATTTCACGTGTAAACATATAGATCGTCTTCGTGATGATGCCATGTACAGTTTTGGGTGATTCATTTTTAATTTTATGAAAGATTCAAATGCAGTAAATTATTTGTACGTGCATACAGATGATGGCAGTGTTGAAGCTCTTTTATTTGCCATCAAACGGTTGAAACACTGAACAAGTCCTACACGACGGTAATAATTTGATTAAGGTGTTTACATGTCTATACTGCACTTCAGTAATGCGACTAAAATAGGAATACTCCACATGTCTTAATTCAATTGCTCTTTACTTCGAATATGACTTTAGCCGGATTAAGGTCATCAAAAATCTCTGTTTACATGGTAGGTTCTTAATCATCAGAGTATTGTCTTAATCGTGTTAAAATCGGATTATTGTTGTCCATGTAAACGTACTCATTGAGTGGTGGGTGTGGTCAATCATATTCCTAGTTTATTTCCAATAGCTGCAAGGCACGAGACGGTTGGGCGTTTGGGAATTGCATGCCAGTTATTGTCCTTGGCATATGTGGCAAAAACATGTTTAAAAAGCCAACTTTTACCTTTCAGTCCATTCATCCCTGTTATGAGGAGCGGAAACAGGTGGGAAGGAGGGAAGAGAGGAGGAAGTGGTGCTTTCGGGTCACGGCTGACTCCCACACACTGTATGCTAGCTGAATCGCTGCCTGTTTGGGACGGAGCTTGTGCTTATTTGAGTTTGAAGAGCTGGCTGCTTATCGAGCGCAAGCGTTTGGTCTGAACGCCGATCGGCATTCTCCACGCAGCCACCCTGCCAAACGGGATTGCCAGCCACTCCACTGCCATTACATCGACGCTGCCACCCACGGGCCTGTTTCACATTAACAGCAGGCCTCAGCTGTGTTTTGTGTGACAATAGCATGTCTCAACACAAAAAAAAAGCCAAATATGCTCATATTGGTTTGGATGCCACGCACTGCAGAGCTGCTCGAGGCTCCGCTTGACTGTAAGAATACGATGCGAGGAATGCCAAATATTAATCAGAAGACAGCTTGAGCATGAAGCAAGCTGAAAAAAGGGTGGCAAACCAAACACAGCAGAATGCGACGTGGCAGAAATGTTCTCATCTCTTACTCTCTTGCTCTCTTTTCAGACTGGTCGGGTGTTGAGCTCAGACTGAACTCGAAGGAAACGGGTCAGATGCTAATTAGCACAGAGGTGAAGTTCTACAACTGCAGCGTGCACCAGCTGTGAGTATACACACACTTCATTTAACGCCTTTCCAGAGCTAAGAAAAATAGCGTGTGATAATTTGTTAATTTCTCAATCATTTCCCCTTGATGGATTAAATTGAGCAAAATTGGCTCAAATGTCCCTCTTTACAGGTTTTTCTTTTGAGAAAAATACATCAGGAATCTATCATGTCTTTGATAAAGTTCAATTTCAAATCCTTAGAACTCAGCGTAAACGGAAAAAGTTATATTTTTATAGCTCTTTTTGATAGACTACCGTTCAAAAGTTTGTGGTAGGTACGATTTTCAAATGTTTTTATAAGAAGTCTGATGCTCACAACAGCTGCATTTATTTGGTCAAAAATACAGTAAAAACCGTGATACAGATTTTTTCTTTGATGAATAGAAAGTTCAAAAGAATAGAATAGAAAATCTTCCTTAACATTATAAATGTCTCTAATGCCATTTTAGATCAATTTACTGCATCCTTGATTTCATTTTCTTTCCAAGATTTTTGAATGGTAGTATGGCTCTTTTATTCAATTAAATGAAAACTTAACCTAAAGGAATTATAGGAAAAATATTTGAGGAAAAAGTTTATATTTAAACAAAACACTACATGCAAGTTTGCTAAAACTGTTCTTAAATAGCTATTTGGCTCCTGGTTAGCATTATCTAGTAGACCCTACAGTCTGTGACACCAGCAGAAAAGGAAAGTTGTTTCAGAGGAAGAGCAAGTTGTTTTTATTCAAAGTTATAATTAAGATTAATATTCATTTTTATTAAAGATTTTCAAGATAAACAATTATTTTCTTGGAATAGCATTCACAAGTGAATCTGTCACACAAAAAGTCCAGGAATGTGTCTTTAGAAAATAAACTGGCTTTGGTTAAATTGCTTGATACTACAAAGGGTTGTTTTTGATTGCATAACTCGTTACGACTCAATCTGAATTATTTTTCTGATACATCATGAGATATACGATGTGTCATACCATCTACCCAGAGGTGCATTGCTGTGATATTTGTCTTTATGATGTATTCGTCCCACATACGCAGCCCTGCTGATATTTCTCTCGCTTCCTGTGTCGTAGAGTATCAGCGTTGTGTCACAGCGCTCAACCAGCTCACTCCACACGCTGTGATTGTTTCAAAAGTGTTATGCAATACAGAAAAACTGTGAATGTTTCGGGCCCACAGGCGTTTTGATGATATTCAAAGAGCTTATCAAGGCTGCGTCTGGCGCCACACCAGATTCTCACAGTGAGTTTGAACTCTCCAAATCATATTTTGCAGGACACCAGTGTCACGTCCCTCCCAGGCTGCACTTTTCCGTGACTGGCGAAAGCCTCATGGCTATAAAAAGCATCCATTATGGCAAATGCTAGCTGATTGCTTAACATTTCTCAAGTGTCGAGGCTGAGGTGTCTGAATTGCTGAATCTAAGTGTGCTGTGGGTTTGGCGCTCCGGCTGGAGGCATCGCTGTCTGTCACAGTTCAATTCCACTTCATCTGCTGTGATGGCTGATCAGAGAGGAGTGAGTTTGACTGCATCTCAACTCTCCAGGAGGCCCACTGATAAACAACCGCTTGTGTCTGAGCGAGCTTTGTGTCTTTGTTCACGCTGCGCCACCAAACTCCCCTCTTGTGCGTGTTTATGTGTGCTTTAGCGTATATTCCTAGCCTCTCGTGTGCGTTTGTAACCACCTCTCATACGCGTGCCTTCTGCGGAGAACAGATGCTGCTCGATGCAGGAGATCACCGAGCCCCCCCAGTAGCTGGAAGCTTTCTAAAACGCTCAGGAAGAGGTAGCTTCCAAGGGCGCTGATTGGTTGGCGCTGAAAGACTCGCTCCCCTCCCTATTCCCGACACTTCCTCGCTCTATCATGGCCGTGTCACCCGAGCATCTGACAGATCTGGAACTAATCAAACAAACTCTTTGTATCCAATCCCTCTGAACATGCACCCCTTGCATGTGGAAGACCTCACACTGAGCTCCGTTGACCCTCTGTGCCAGTGCCACAGGGGATTATGGGTAATCTGAGGCAGAATAGCCCCTCCTTATGTGTTCAACCTGGCTCAGTTTTTGGCACATTTAGTCTTACCAAATTTCCTCCCACTCTCCCTTTCTCTTCAAATGTTGTAAAATGCTCTAATTTATCTTGAGTTCCCAACAGAGTGATTAAGTACACCATGGTATATCGGTTTTTAGCTTGCGATTGCTGTATGAATCTCACCACCCAATCGGGTTGGCCCATCTGAACTCAGTGGCCCAATGGCAAGCCGGCTCTGATGAATATTTTAGCATAAATCCTTCTGCATAATTTAACCATCAAGCAGAAAACACAAACTCTTGGACGCCAAAGAGCTGTAGAGGTTTATAACTCTAGAAGCGTCTCCAAGATTCCTCAACATCAAATATATGACATGGTCCTCTACAAATAGAGCAAAGCTTGCTCACCCTAGCATGGCTTTGCTTCTGAATTGGAGGGACTGATATAAGTGTTTATTGGAACGTGTTGGTATTATGGATTCTGGACGTGCTCTTTCTTGTAAGCTGTGCTCATCTGCATATAAATGATGAATAGAGAGCTTACCGCTGCAGGCACGCACACTGACACATGCAAACACACATGCTCGTAATGTATGGCTGTATTCTCTCATTGTTTGCCTACTGCATACTGGAATACTGATTATACAACTAAATAGAGATGGCGCACAGGAAGTGAAGCGATACAAGATCACAACCCTGGTTTATGTCAATTTTGGCCTTAAATGAAACACTTAACCTCACGTTGTTCCCGTGAGATGGTGCTCGCAATTAACATACCGTGAATGGCTGAATAACAACCAAAAATAGCTGTGCATTCAAACACTTCACTATATCTGTAAATTAAATAACATTCCATTTCCCTTAAGTGGATTGCGAACTCCTTTACACGATCATGTAAATATCATGTTATGATCCATGTTTAATTGAAAATTGATTTGATTGTTTTAAACCAGTTTAAACAGTTTTGGTGTGAAAAACTGTTTCAGAATATTTTATACTGCCTTGGCCTGATTGTTGTTGTTGTTCAGATGTTGAAATCAGAGTCATAAGTTCTGTACTGGTCCTAATGCAAAATGTTTTGGTGCATAAAATGTTTCCAAATATTTTGTACTGATATGTTGTTACAAATGCAACAGTGAGTAGTGCGAGAGTCAATGAAAATGGAAAGGGTGACCTCTGATGGCTAGCAGACGGAAGTTCATGGCGGGGCAGAGAACCACCACGGCAGAGCGAAGGACCACCACGACAGAGCAGAGGACCACCAGAGCCAGTCAGACCACCAAGGCGGAGCAGACGGAACAGGGAACCCTCCCGGTGAACCACACCGATCAGGAGACCATGGCAGAGACTGTAACAACGAGAAAGCAGGGACAGACAACACAGACAGAACATTGGGGTTGATAGATAAGGCTGAGTGTTCAGAGGCAGCCTCCTTGGTTGGGTCGGGACAGGACAAAAGTTCACAAACGACCTCCTTGGCCATAACAAAGCAAGCAGGGAGTTCGCAAACGGCCTCTATAGCTGTGACAGGACGAGCCGGGAGTTCGCCAACGGCCTCTATAGGCCGGAACAGGAAAGGCAGAGAGTTCATAAACAAAGCAAGCAGGGAGTTCGCAAACGGCCTCTATAGCTGTGACAGGACGAGCCGGGAGTTCGCCAACGGCCTCTATAGGCCGGAACAGGAAAGGCAGAGAGTTCATAGGTGGCCTCCTTGGCCGGAACAGGACAGGCAGAGAGTTCATAGGCGGCCTCCTTGGTCGGAACAGGACAAGCAGAGAGTTCATAGACGGCCTCCTTGGCCAGAACAGAACAGGCAGGGAGTTCATAGGCAGCCTTCTTGGCCGGAACAGAACAGGCAGAGAGTTCACAGGCGGCCTCCTTGGCCGGAACAGGACAATCAGAGAGTTCATAGGCGGCCTCCTTGGCCGGAACAGAACAGGCTGACAGTGCATTGCTGGGTGCCACCACCACGCAAGGAGCTGAAGCGAGCACCGCCGTTTTGGGAGGTTCTGCAGCATGCGCCACCACCTCTGAAGAGACTGCAGTGGGTACCATGGCCTCTGGGAGCACAGCATCGGACACCGCTACCTCGGGAGGTTCTGCAGCGTAAGCCGCCACCTCTGGAGATATTGTAGCCGGTGCCGCTGCCTCTAGCAAATTGGCAGTGGAGTACGCAGCCCAGATGCACCATAAAGTGATCCCCATTGTGGGAAGCGCTACAGACATGGGAAATAGTTCAGAAACTGGAGGGCATGAGAGTGCTGGTTTAGGGATGCCATCTGCACGTGCCGACACCAGCAGTGGGTCCTCCACGCTGGAAGCCAGTCTGGGATACTGAAGAGCTGACCTCGATACTCTGGGTGTAACAGACAGGACGTGACATGATTCTGGATGATCAGCTGTGATGCGACGGGATTCTGGATGATCAGCTGTGATGTGACGTGACTCTGGATGAATAGCTGAGACGTGACGTGACTCTGGACGAACAGCTGAGACGTGACGAGGCTCTGGATGAACAGCTGAGATGTGACGAGGCTCTGGCAGATCAGCTGAAACTTGACTTGACTCATGAAGATCAGCTGTGACTTGACTTGACTCATGAAGATCAGCTGTGACTTGACTTGACTCATGAAGATCAGCTGACTTGACTTGACTCATGACGATCAATTGTGACTTGACTAGACTCATGAATATCAGCTGTGACTTGACCTGACTCATGATGATCAACCGTGACTTGACTGAACTCAGGGAGATCAGCTGTGACTTGACTGGACTCATGAAGAACAGGTGTGACTTGACTTGACTTGCCTCACGAAGATCTGCTGTGAGTTGACTTGACTCAGGAGGATCAATGGTGAGTTGACTGGACTCAAGATGGGCAGCTGTGACAGAACGGGGTGCTGTTGTGTCTGCCATTTTGCGATCAGGCTCCGCTGTCGCCGCCATTTTGTGAGTGCGCTCTGGTACAGCTGCCACCACAGTCACAGATACTGTGTCGCGTTCTTCCTCCGCGACACCCACAGTAAACAAGGATCCAACAGTCAGCAAGGCATAATCCATTAACTGAGCGAGTGATGAACGTAGACCCTCGCGTCTAAGTTTAGACTTGAGAGGTTGATTTAGGCCATCGCAGAAAAACTCTATCAATAAACAGTCTGGTAAATCGGAATAGTGAGTGATGGCTAAAAACTCTCGAATATGGTTCTCCAATGATCGGGGGCCCTGTATAAGGGCTAATAAAATTCTTGCCGTGTCCATACCTGGCCAATGTCCTTTGGAAAAGCTGCTGGATCCTTGTTGGGCTGAGTATTCTGTTACGGGGCTGACAAGACGTGAGACGTGCGGATCCATATGCAAGCTTTATTAACAGCAGAGGAGGTCAGAAACACAGGCAGGGTCGAACAGAGGCAAACAGGTATATGGCGGGCAAGACACAAGAATAGTCCTAGGGCTAGCATAGGTCAACGATTGGCGAACATAATCACAAGAGCGAGACTAAAGGGATAAATCCAGGAAAACAGGCAAAGATCAGAAACCGGGAAAACAGACAAGGCAAGACTAGGCTAAGACTATCAAAGAGAAACAGGCTCCGTAGAGTAGGTATCGCTAAGAGAGTGATAAACGCATACAATACTCGGCGGCAGGAAGGGATCAGAGTGAGTGTTAAATAGTGAGTGAGTGATATGAAACAGCTGTGTGCAATCAGTGCTGTGTGCAATCAGTGAAACAGCTGTGTGCAATCAGTGCAATGAATGATGGGATATGTAGTCCGGGATGATATGCAACAGTGTGTAGTGCGAGAGTCAATGAAAATGGAAAGGGTGACCTCTGATGGCTAGCAGACGGAAGTTCATGGACCGGATACATATGTACTGTATATAAATCTTCAACAATTTTCATATTATGATATTCAACATTTTCCAATATTCAGAATAATATAAAATAGCATTATACTTGCAGGATATAAATATTATAAATAATATATAATACATTTTGAGAATGCAAACCATTTTCTTTTTGGGCTACAGTTAACACAAGTATTATCAAAGGCAAAACTAGTTACTTTGGTTAGCAGCATTGAACTTGGTGTAAACAGGCTCTCTTCTAAATGTCTATTTAACCTATAGACTAGACTTTTCTTTCTAGAAGGACTATAAAACACAATTACTCTCACTAACTATTATAATACTTAGTATTATAATTATTGCAATTAGAGTTAGATTGCATCTCGTTTTCTTTAAGATCATTCCATATTCACTCAGGCAGTCCACTGTTTCACTCACAGACAATATAGTCCTAATGCAAATCATATATCACGGCACGACTATATGTCTTAATAAAGTCTGTATGTCTCAATACCAGTGATAATAGTACGTCTGAGTTCTAACCTTTGCAGAGCCGCAGTACATCTGCATGTGGGTTTCAGTGGCACAGTGCAGTGTGTTTCAGTGGCACATGCACATTTTTTTTTATTTATTCAGCATTAAGCCGCAAAGGTCAAGGACACAGCAGTGCTGGTCTCAAAGGCACAACCTGCTCCCCATTGCTAATCTAAAACCCAGAGCTACGTTTTATGCTGACTACTTTCACAGTACCCTCAAAAAAGGGCTTTGGATCATAAAAGGGACATCATCTGAGTGGTAATAATACTTTATTCTCACTCTTTCCATCTGTTTAGGTGTCTTTCCTGTGTGACCAGTTCTTTCCGCTGCCACTGGTGCAAGTACAGAAACCTCTGCACCCACGACCCCTCCAGCTGCTCTTTCCAGGAGGGACGCGTCAACGCCTCTGAGGTACACACACAAACATACACAAACTGTGTGAGGTTAGAGTCTCTCAGTAGCAAATCTACAGGATCACAAACCTCCAATCAAGAGCTTCCAATAATAGCTGCTGAAAAAGTGTGTGAAGTCGACGGTCGCCTCGCTAGAGAGCATGCGTGTGTGTGTGAGTGTGTGTGCATTTGCAGGTGTTCAGCTGATCAATGTGCTACATTACACCCTGTCAGGTGGTAAACACACTTGTTCACCCTCTCACAGCGAGCAATTAGCAGTCGATATCCGGAATATTCTCCCTCGCAGCACACACAGATTTCCCACTTATTAACACACAGCCAAAAGCACAAAATAAATATACACTTACACAGGAAAAAACTCCTTACGGTGCACCATCAGTCACGGTGTGTGTGTGCATTTGCATTTTTGTGTGTGCAGGCTTGCATGTAAGTGTATGTTTGAGTACATATGCATTTGTGTGTGTGTTAACCTTATACTCTAGGGAGAAAATTGCTGTCCAAGAAATTAGCTAAATAGAACAAAAGGTTGTGGAAATCTTCATGGGCAGTAGGGGTTAAGAAGTAAAAGAAACATGTTGTACAAATTAATTTATACTTTTAAGTGAAAGATGCAACATTTGTTTAATTAATGTTGCCTTCATAATTTATTTCTTCTTAATAGCATTCTTTTTTTTTTTTAAGCTGACACTTTATACATTTAAGTAAAATAACTTTGTTTGTTGCACAAATTAAATTATACTTAGTTTTTTAACGATTGCTCAAGCACAATTTTGAAAACTGGGCCCGGTTTGTCAAAACCCTACACACACAATTAACACAACCCTACACCAAAGTAGCACAACACTTCAGATCATTTGCAAAATGGAACACTTGTCAAAACTATACACAACTTTATGAAAACAGTATTTTGTTACCATACGAAACACACATTTCATATGACTTTAATCTATTTGAACCAGTTACACACTGCTGTTGCGAACCTAAAACACTTTTAGCAAGTCTAATTCTCAGTGATTAGAGTACTGTAAATTAAGTACACAGAGAAAGTGCAACTATACAATAGTTCACCAAACACTACACAAGACCAATGCTGCAGACTGACGAAAATATCATTGATTTCTCTCCATATACCCAAATCAGTCAACATGGAGAATCACAGCAAAACATGTCCTAGTTGTCATGCTACTACAGTAGTGTGCATAACACTGTTAGCTCAGCAAACAAATGTAAAATACTGTATCCAGTACAGGTTACAATTACAGTAACCAACAACAAACATAAATAATCTGAAAAACTGACAATATTGTACAGAAAATACTACAGTAAACATACTATACATTATCTCTTCGCCTAGCTGGATCTGGCCAGAGAATTATCAACCATCACAAGCAATATCCTCATTAGCAAGGCAACGCGGGAAGAACCGTCTTGAATGTCGAATCCATCCTTGCACAGCTGTGGCGTCGACTTTGTCACAGGCGTCCTCCATGGCCTGAATGAGGGGTACCTGAGCCTGGGGCTGGAGATCGTAAACCTTCCACCGCCATGCAGAGAAAAACTCTTCGATAGGGTTTAGAAACGAAGAGTATGGTGGAAGGTATAGTACTGTCAACTGTGGATGGTGTTGAAACCAGTTCTGGAGCCGTTTGACCCTCTCTGAATTCCGCTCAAAAGGCACTCGATAAAGTTGTTTCATTTGAACCTGATGTCTTTTCAGGATGCGTGCCAGTGTTGACAGAGACCTGATGGACATTATTGAAAATGGCATGGTCACCGATAATGTTTGCTTGTAGTTCTCTTAGTCTGATAGCATTATTGGCCAAAACCATGTTTATTATCTCTCACTTGTTCTTGCGTGAATATGGGCCCCCTTCCTCCTTGTCGTTCCCGACCCTCAATCCTATGTAGAGAATAATACAT